CGCCACCAGCTCGGTCGCGGCCACCGGCGCAGCAGGGCAGGACACCACAGGAAAAGCAAGCCCGGTGGGGAGGCACCAGGGGAAGCCCTCGAGGGCTGAGAAGCATCGGGACGGCACACAGCCAGCGTGGTACCAGCCCCAGGGCCGAGGCCGGTGCAGCCATGCAGCTGTGGCCCGGCACCGCTGAGTGGGACAGGGAGCACTACGGTGAGCTGGGCAGCTGGGCCGGAGGAGGCACGGAGCACGTGGAAGAAAAGTCGGTGCCGACACCGTCCTGCAGCCCCACGCTGGGCACAGCTCCCTGGGCAGGGGCCAGGGCAGGCAGCACGATGGGTCGGGGCAGAGCAGCCACGTCACCTACCTCGGTGAGCGGGGCCACAGCTCCCCGGTGGCACGCAGGAGCCGGCAGCAGCACCATGCCCAGCAGCTTTGCCCCACAAGGCGCTGCCAGCTCTGTGTCAGCCCCAAAAGAACGCCCACCACGGAAGGGGCCGGCTGCTGGGGCCGCGGCGCTGCCCCATGGCTGACCCCGGGCCCAGCAGGAGGAAGGAGTGCTGGAGCGCCAGGAGCTGGGCTGGGGAAGAGAAAGGGCGAGCATGCCGGGGCGGCACAGTCCGGGAGGGCTCTGGCTGCCGGCCCTGCCCTGCCTCCAGCCCTGCCTCCACATCCAGCTCGGCACTTTGAACCCAGGAGCCAGCCCAGCCCGCGGCACCCAGCCCGGGTGTGGGAAGCACACAGCACCCAGCCGGGACAGCTGCCCGCCCCCACGCCCCACAGCCAGCGGGACCGACGGCCCAGCAGCAGCCAGCTTGGGGGTCACGGGCCCCCCAACAACTACAGCAGGGGCCTGGCCTGATAGCAGCCCCCAGCACCCGGCTGCACCACAGGTGCCACGCAGAGGCAGGGAGGGGAAGGAGGTGCCCCCGGAGCTGCTGCCTGGGGAGTGGGGGTGCCCACAGACCCCTCGCACCGAGCAGAGGTCCCAGCTCAGCACCTTCCCCCCAACCGCGGCATCTCAGGCCCTGCCACCGGCCCTGCCACCGCCATGACAGTGACAGGGAGCAGCAGGTATCCCTGCCGCCTGTGCAAGGCCAGTGACGTGGGGCTGTCCCTGTCCCTTGGAGGTGGGATCCCCCATCCCCACTCGGAGCCACTGGCAGTCCTGCGGTGGGGACGGGGCTTCATGCACCAGCACCAACAATGGCACCTCCCCTGGCCCACCCAGCCCAGCCCGGGGTCTGCTCTCCCAGCCCCACCAGCACCCCGGCTTCATCCCACCCAGCTCACGCCAGTCCCGGCACACGCTCCCTGCCCTGCAGCAAGGAAGCTGAGGACAGAGAGGCCGCGACAGGCTGCCATCAAAATCAGAGCCTGTGGTGGGACGCGCAAGCAGGCTGGGGCTGACCCCCTGGGGCTTCCCCCCCTTCCCGTCTGGGCTTGGACACTGACACACACCCCCCCCCCGGGCCCCACACAGGAGGCCGAGCAGGGAGAGGGGTGCAGGCAGGGTGCCGGCAGCTGGGGTGCAGGGGAGGGCTGAGGGACCGGCACACGGAGCCAGAGCCCTTCAGGGAGGCACCAGCCGCCTCCACAGCAGAGGCCCCAGGGCCAGGGGGGACACGGGTGGGACCCCCAGACAGGAGCATCACAGGAGGAGGCAGCGGGTCCTCAAAGCGAAATCCTCGGTGTCGCAAACGTGAGCTCACCCAGCACAAGGGCCGACGGGCAGCATGGCACAAGGCCGCACTGCAAGCGGCACTGACCACGGCCAAGGCAGCATGCAGGATGGGGCTCCCACCGGCCCCAACGCCACCGTCA